CCGCGGAGGAGGCGGGAGAGCCGCTCCCGAGCCGCCGGCCGGAGCCCAGGCAGGGTGCTGGAGCAGGGCAGGACGCGGCCGCCAAGTCCCTCCTTTTGGGTTCCTGAAATCGCCGCAGCTCATTGTCTGAGCGGACCGCGTACCCCCAACTCCCCCAGAAGCCAAAAGGAAGCCGTTTTGGAAATTTATCAGGGGAAATCTACCCTTTTCTCTTCTAAGAGGCACCATGTGATGTTCACCACAGTTTCAGTCTACTGGTGCAGTATTTGCTGACCGTTACTTGCTACCACATTCTCCTGAAATCACTGATTCAATACTGACATTTTTAGTGTAGCTTAAGAAGGAATCTCTCAAACTTTCTATCAGATAATTCAGTATCACTGATCTCCTTGTTAATTGTCACAGTAAGAACACAGATAAAAGGTCACTATTCTCAAACGTGCAATTTACTACAACACAGCAGCATATCATCATCTGAATATAATATACTTACACTTGAAGACTTTGTATCACGACACGCAGAATACATCAGGAGAAATATTTTTCCAATTCATTTTTATTTTGGTTTCCATTGTTTACAGCATTGATACAGGAATAATTCATGCAAATTTATCACCTTAAATACAGCAGAGAGAAAACTCACTGGTAAGAGTATTTCAAAGAGCTCCACCAACATAACACAATGAGAAAAATAAGTAGCAGCAATAAGATAAAGTGCATTTAGCTGACCTTCTTTAACTCTTAAGAGTTCAGAGAAGATTGTGTTTGGAATTACCTGTTCTAAGGATTAGTTTATCATTCTTTATGAAAATCAGAAGAGAACAGCCGCCTTGCTGATAGCATTCATTCCTCCACCACTCTGAATTAAAGAAGTACAGCTGTATTTTATTTAAGAGCAATCCAGCTCATAGGCCTTCTGTTAAAAGTTTGATTCGTGATCACTCAGGCTTCTAAGGACAAGGGCTACACACATACTTGAAAATTCTTCCCTGCCATGTTAGCGGTTTTGCTTCTTAAAAAATTCAAGTGGTTCTTTTCCCCGTTCTATAGGTTAGGTTTCAGCATACAGTGAGAATGCCTACATCACCAAAATCTGAACAGTGTCAGAAACACACACATTGGGAAGACACCACATTCTAAGAACGCACCAATCTCTTTTTCCTTTACAGATTAGACACTGGCTTAAAGATCAGCTCATTTATCAGATTTCCCCTAAAGGCCAGCTGAAGAGATGCTAACACCGCACGTCTTCAAAAGCAAGGTCAGCATTTCAGGTAGCCTACAGCTGCTCAGCAGTAGTACGTCATCACCTCCCTCTACCTAGAACTGACAATTTCCTGGTGTATTAGGGATGTGCTTCATGTTTTAACTCAATAGCATAGTCCATAGCCTATTATGCATATGTATGTGATCGCCTGAGGGACTAGAGATCTGAATTTATTCACATACCTACAGCAGAGTAACAGTGGACGATTCCATTTATTCCAGTATACTTCACCACAAGCCCAGGGAACACACTTCTAGAGGCAAGGACTCAAATTTCTTTCTTACTCATTCTCAGATCTGATCCAAGCCATATTTAGGTCCTGGTGGTTGCCTGAGGAAACCAATCACGGCCAATAAAGCCCTCTGATGAAAATGGCTTTTCAGTTTGGGTTGGATTCAAAGCTGTCTACTGGAAGTGAAAGGTTTGTTGCTTCCTGCATTCCAGGGATATAACAAGAGTCTCACTGCCAGCTCCTACATGATCAAGAAACTTCAAGTCTTACTGCAAAGCTTAGCACAGCCTAAAGTACTTACTGACATTTCACTATTTTTATTCCCTCAATTATCAGGCAGCTGCTTCTTTCTGGAACTTTCGTGACACATGAAACCAGAGACTTGTCACAGCAACATATACTCACACCTTAGCATGAACAAGAAATCCTAAGGCCAGCTGATAGCATTTTCAAGTGAAAAGTCTCATTTTCAATAAGAAAAAACACCCCACTGCCTACTAGTCCTGAATTCAGCTAGGACCTGCTCAAAGACAGCCCAAATTCTCTGAAGTCTGATGCTGAACAGATTTAGGTTGTCACTAACTTCAGAACTGCTGGATCTGATTCTGGATTCCTCAGATATTTTGTGGGGAACAGAAAGGCTATACCCATCACATGGCAAAACACTGACCCACCAAAGTGGAAAAGAAACTTTGCAACATAGGAACATAATCCTGGTACTACTGAAATCAGTGGGAACTTCTCCTCTATCAATTCCAACAGGAAGAGACTCCAGTCTTTAAAATTCCCAAACCTTATACTCCAAATTCAAAATTGCTTCAGGGCAAAACTCAATGATTAAATTAATCTATTTGCAAATAAAGAATATCTTTAAAAAATAAGTTGCCTTAACCCATTCTTGCCCTGGCATGAAACACAAGGGACAGGTCTCCCCCCTGCCCCAGAGGAGCGGCACTTGGCAGTTCATTCTCATACTTTTAACAGAAGAGAAACAATATCAAATCATATTACTGCATGGACTGTAACATCCTTTGGGAACTCTACATGATGCAAAATCTCTTACAGTTTGTAATCTGCATGCTGTTCTTGTGGCCAAATAGTGGTAATGGAATTCCAAAGGCCTGCTTCCAGAAACACAGCTGTGCATTTCCAAAAAAACCCCACATTCATCAACTTATCTCATAAGGCAGTTCATTACATTCTGTCAACTGGCTTTTCTTTCCTATTTTTCTTTCTCAACAAGCTGCCAAATTATCAGCACTACCTCCTTCACAGGAGCTAGTTATGTCTTGGCAAACTATTTGTCCATGACATGAAATGGGCCAGACTGTATTATTAAAGAGCTCGTAAGAGGAAGAAACTAACTCCAAAGACAATAAGCTTACCAAAGCAAAAATCTTAGTCCCTCTTGCTCTGGAAGAGAACTGAGTTTTGTTCATAGGTTTAAACATACTGACAGTAATAAACCTTTCTATGAAGGGACACGGTGATTCTCTGTCATGTTCTACAATAACAGAATATTATCCTAAAAGATAGGCCTGCATGGGCTATAAATGCATTGTGAAACCATCACTACGTCTGGGTGCACAGGATCTGTGTTAGACACAGCCGCTTGTCACACATACATAAACTTGGGGCTTGGAAGTCAAAAGTTCTATCTTCATGTAGTAAAATTAATGACTCCATAAAGAGGTGTCAGAATAACTTTTAACCTGATATACATTTGGGGTTTTGTTTTAAATTTGTTACTCTACTTGATTTTGCTTTAAAAAGCCCCCTGTAAATGTATGAAGCACACATTCCTTCTGAAGGAGTCTGGTCTCACAAGAAGGAAAAAGAAGAGTTATAAACAGCTAGTGTTCAGAGGTGGGACACAAAACAGGGAAGCAGAATCCTGTTGTTCACACAGCAACTGGAAACATAGCAATAGGTTTTCACTCATTCCCTTTAGGGAATTCCATCACCCACCATGTTCTCTGCAGTAATTAAGAGAGCACTGAAGAGAAACAGCGTTGTTTTTCTCTTCTTCCCACACTATCTGCTTTGCTGCAGGTACTGATGTGTGAACATGTTGAGTTCACTGTCAAGCCAACCCGCTTTATTCCTGCAAGGACAGAAAGTCTTCATTAGGTGAGTAAAATAGCTCTTCTCAAGCTAATCTGAAAGAAGCATGACTAAAACAAGTAAACAGCAAGGCACAGAGAGGAATGCCAGAGGTCCTTTCCAAAATGCTGCTACCATTCCTTGCCCTTCCTCAGGTCAGGAAGACTTGCCTGCTAGCAGTCCCTAGGCTTTGAGGTTCAAACCGAGATCTTGGTCACAACTTCACAGTGATCTTATTGTGTAGATAAGGAATGTTTGAAAAATTCTTCCTGACGGCCTTTGCAGGGTGAAGAAAAACATCAGACTACTGTGTACAAAGGCGAGGGTGAGACTTTTTGCATAATTTCATAATAACCTGAAGGAGTTTGTAAGAGTAGAGGACTGTATGTTTTGATAAATGGAAAGGAACTGTACTTCCAACAAACCAAAAACAAGAAGGAAAAGGTCTTTTGTGAGACAGAAGATTTAAATGACTGTCAACAGTACATGGGAAAGTACATAATGAAAGGGAACACAACCTGGTAGGGAAAGATGCTGATGTCTGCACATCAAATGCTATGACTGAACAAGGACTGCACTCAAAGGTACACCCTAATCTGAACAGCTTGGGGCAATTGCATGAAAAACAATTGTACGCAAATGTCTGTGTATATGGGATAATAAAATCTCACCTGAGCAATTTTGCTTTGCTCTGCAAGGAATCCAGAACTTCGATTTTTTTATTCATGGCAGAAATTTCCTGCTCAAGGTTCTCCCGTGTGACATCCACTTGCTGACACAAATGAGCAAATGTTCCAGCAAGCTCTCTATAGAACAAGGAGAATAGCTGGCTATGACGAAAAGTAAGATCAAGCACCAAAATTCAAGGAATAAAACCCTCTGTTGTATAGTGATGATGATACTGACTCAGATGTTCATCTTTCCACTTCTGCACAAGAATATGTCAGAGCATCAGAGCAATTTGATTTGAGAGACGGAAGTACATTAAGGCTAATGCTTAACAGCACCCAAATACCACATTGGTGATTCAAACCCCCATAATATTCTTTTAAAACACATGTCTTGTTACACATTTTTAAATCTGAAATTCAATATGCAGACTTATCTTGTTAAAATGGGGAATATCATTTAAAAAAAAAACAACAAACAACAGAATTTAGATAAGGTTTTAGCTGTATATAGGCAACTCACTGTTGGACTTGGTGGCTGCAATTGGAACCTGTGTAACTGACGATGAGCTGCAATTTCTCACCAGCATACTCTACAAACTGCCGTTTGAAAGCTCTCTCTTTCGCCTTTGTGGTCCAGGTGAGGCGCTCATATACATAAAGGAGCCCATAAAGGCCAAAAGAGAGAGCAATCAGTCTCCAGCCCACAGCCTTCCAGACCTAGAAAAAGCACAAGGAAAAACAAATGACACAATCATCATCTAGGAATGATGCTAACTCCTAACAATGGTGCCCAGAGCATTGCACTTGTATTCTAGGCACAAGAAAACAAGCCAGATAGGTAACGCTAACTTGCAAGTGGTTTCATTAGTCAGACAGCTTACTACTGACGTCCAGTCTATAAAATAAAAATACCTAACCTAAACCGCTCGGATTCTGTATGAATTAACCTTTCCAGCACATTTAAATTACATTTGCAAGTGCAGACAAACTTCGTCTGGTTCACAGAATCCCTGTCTCTGAAGTAAAAGACGTTTTTAAGCAACCATCTCCCCTTTGAGAAATCATCCACCCCTAGACACTGTGACACTAGAATAGCGTGTAGGTATGGAACTGGCACTACAGAAACTTAGATTCTTCCTGCAACAGGAACTAGAGTTACCATGCAACTTCAGTTACAGCTCTTATGCCTCCACATTTCAGGGAGATTTGAGATTCAAAACACTCATTATTTTCAAAAGACAGAAAAGCAGCAAGTGCTGATTTTCTCTGAAATAAATTAGGCATAGTATCTCAAATTACGTGCTCTCCTCCCCTTCCAGGAAGGAAGATACACATGATCAAAGGCTCTTGGTAGATATTTCTGTCCTGATTCCTCTGTAAATGGGAGAAGAAAAATACTGAATTTTTTTTTATTCTCACAGAAGAATGAGAGACTATTTAATGCTTTTGTAACACACTTTGAAGGGTTATATTTACAACACCAACTCCAAGCTTAATGTTATGCAAAATAAGCTCAATATTTATACTCAAATAGAAGATCAAAGGAGAAAGTATTTCACTATCTGTGAATAGCAAACATCTACAGGATCCAGTAGCGCAAGCACTTTTCAAGTCAGTGCTCCAACTTTATTTATATAAATACTGCTCAGATTGCCAACGCACCACACCACCAACCACGATGATTCCCATGGAAGTTCGGGAAGTTAATGAGGCCAGTCCAGTCACCATTGACACCATGAGCTCTTCCTGGGTCATAGAGCCCTGAGGCAAAGGAGGCAGACTGGGATTTGCTGGTGTTAAAGGGCGTTGAACCTAATTAGAAAAGCAGCGACAAAACAAAACAAAAACAAAGAACAGAATAAGAGAAGGCAAGCCACTGCCCTTCCCACCAAAAAAACTTCAGCAGCCACTGAACCAATGAATATTTCATCTACTCCGATCACTCAATGAGGTGTTATCTTACCTGGTCATTATAGCCCATCAAGGCCCGACGACCATTCTTTGGTCCCAAAAACCTGTTCACCAGCATCGTCCATCCAAGAGAGAAATGGAATTCTATGTCCTCTTGGAAGTCGGCACAAAGCTTGTCACAGTTCAGATCATAGCTGAGCATGAAGCACTGTCGGGGAATTAACATGTCTATCTGGCCCCGCAAAGAGACTGGAAGAAGGGGTTTTAACCCATCTGCACAGACAGAAAATAAAAACATTGAAAAAATGGCTATTGAGTTCACAAGAATTAATTGGACTTGTATTCTGTAATTAGGGTGGTTATTCCATCCTCCACAGTTATTTTTCTTAGTACCCGGAATTTCCTAAAGCCAAGCATGTTGCAAAGTGAGAGATACATCATGAATTACTATTAAATTCTTAGTTCTTGTCCTTCAGATCAACTCAGAATGAAATCTTTCCATGGACCCTCCTAAATCCTTACAGGTAGCTGGTGAAGTTTACAGTTTAGCAATAGCTTGGAAAACAGACTCTGAAGGCCAGTTCTAAAAGTGTTTAGGCACCATACTCCTATTAACGCTTATATTCAGACAGGTACCTAGTTACAAGTCATTCACATTTCATTAGGATCTCGGTCTGAGAATCTCTCAAGTTTCCAAAGTCATAGTTCCTCTCTGTCATGAGGATTAAGCTGATTGTATATATTCATTAGCAAATCACTGCACGAGTTCAGACACAGGAGTGGAAAAAGCAGGAGTAACTAGTCCTCTACACAACAGCATTACTGATCAAGATGGAAACTAAGAAAATGCCAGCTGCACATCAGCCATCAGATTAAAGAGAAACCCAGAACATCTACCTAGTTATTTTGCATTACAGTTCAAGGAAAGATAAAGAGAAATACCGCCTGCTGAACTGACCTATCATTTCTTGCTGCATTGTTTGCAGGGAAGCTGTGATTGCATTGGAGCAACGATCTGACATGTTACGACCCAGGCCTTCCTCAATGTGTTTATGCAGCTCCTGACAAACAAAGAAAGGGTTATTAAGCTTAAAATAAACATAGGTAAGATGCAGGCTGCAGGTGCTAAAGCTTGCCAGTTAAAAAAACCTTCCCAGAACAGGAGCACACATTCTGTCTGTCCAATGTTCTAACATTAATTTCATTCCCCCCTCCCCCCATTCTTCAGTGAAGGAGAGGAAAAAGCAAATCAAATTATCTCACATGTACTCTGTAGTCTAGGAAAAGTTCTGATTGATCTATACAATGTGACACATCATTTGTATTATCAATTTATCACTGAGATTATTAAAAAATCCAAAAAACCTATTTCTTCTCCCCCCGCCCCCTTTTTGGTTTTGTTTTTTTGTTTGTTTGTTTTTTTAAGATGTTCACTTTTTACAGAAGCTATCCAAATGCAGGAGACATTCTAACAGAAGATCTCTCACAATATGAAAAGCTTAGCTCATATCCTAGTTGGAAGAATGTTAAGCATCAAAGAGCTGGCATAATTACTGACTCAGAGCAAAAAAAAGGCCTCTTTAAATTGCTCAAGCAACCTGTAAGAAGCAAACATCACTTACACTCTTGTAAACTTTAAGAACTACTTGAGATGGATGGAAGTCTGCTTGGTATTCATCTACCAACACTGAAAGCCGTCTGATTTCTTCTGCCATTGCATTTGACACCTAGGGAAACAGCACAGGACAGAGTTTCTATATATTCTGTCCTAGGGAGAGATGGAAAACCACCACTGAAGACATGCATTTCTTAGCAAACACTACTGAACACTAGGCACTATGATTGTGTAGCGCCATGCAGCTATTGTGTGCCAACTGCAAAATGCAATATTGGTGACTTGCAAAGAAAGAAGATGGCTGAGAATTATGTAGATCTATGCTCTGTATAACAACACAGGCAGAAAAAGACTGAGGCAATATAAGACTTCTGAAAAATGAATAGGCCTTTTCTGCATATTTTTAATAGTAAAAATGGCATATTATTATGGACATCAAGACAACTGACATTATTCTAGATTGAAATAATAAGGAAATTTATCTGAAACATTTTAGTACTTTACAAAGCATTTAAGACTGAAATATAGTAGCAATAATAATTCAGACATTAATCAAAGTCTCATTGTTTTTTTTAAAGCATCTTATATGAGTCTCTCTGAAAGCTTCCCCCAAGGATTCTAGTTTTCATTTTATTACCTCAAGGGGAAAAGAAAGAAAAAAAAAAAAAAAAAGACTTCTGAAAGCATTTCTTCTCTTCCCATCATTAGGTCCCACATTTCTAGTACTTCAAACCTTTGTCAG